ACTACAAGCCTTTATAATGACAAAGGCAAAGACTACAAACATTTGTAGTCTACAAAGCGGACACTACAAACACTGTAATGAAAAAAGCGGACAACACAAACATTTGTAGTCTAAAAAGCGCACACTACAAGCCTTTATAATGAAAAGGCAAAGACTACAAACATTTGTAGTGAACAAAGCGGACACTACAAACACTGTAATCAAAAAAGCGGACACTACAAACATTTGTAGTCTAAAAAGCGGACACTACAAACATTTGTAGTGTAAAAAGCGGACACTACAAACACTGTAATGAAAAAAGCGGACACTACAAACATTGTAATGAAAAAAGCGGACACTACAAACATTTGTAGTGTAAAAAGCGGACACTACAAACCTTTATAATGACAAAGGCAAAGACTACAAACATTTGTAGTCTAAAAAGCGGACACTACAAACATTGTAATCAAAAAAGCGGACACTACAAACATTTGTAGTCTAAAAAGCAGACACTACAAATCTTTGTAATGACAAAGGCAAAGACTACAAATATTTGTTGTCCAAAAAGCGGACACTACAAACTTTTGTAATGAAAAAAGCGCACACTAGTAACTTTTGTAGTGAAAAAGCGGACAGTGCAAACCAAACTGATATTATGTAATGACTTTCCCAATTAGGAAATATGCGAACATTGTTATAAACAATGACAACACTAAGCTAGCCACTAACTCCAGTGGCCCAAAGAGCGTGGGAAACAGTTCTCAAGCGAAATGTGCACTGTGCCTGACATTAGGTGTGGCAGAACAAAGTGTAACGTTTTTCTTAATTAGGAAATGGCCCAATTGGGAAATAATGCGGACATTGTCCTGAACAGTGACAACACCAAGTTAGCCACTAACTCCAGTGGCCCAAAGAGCGTGGGAAATAGTTCCTGACCTAAATGCCCAGTGTGCCTGACATTAGATATAGCAGAAAAAAGTGTAATGCTTTTCCCAATTAGGAAATAGTGCAGACATCGTCATTAACAGTGACAACACTAAGCTAGCCACTAACTCCAGTGGCCCAAAGAGCGTGGGAAACAGTTCCCAACCCAACTGCACACTGTGCCTGACATTAGGTGTGGCAGAAAAAAGTGTAACGCTTTTCCCAATTAGGAAATGGCCCAATTAGGAAATCATCAAAGCGGACACTACAAAATTTTAGCATCACTTTGGTCAAAGCTATTGGTAAATATATGTAAACAAACTTCGAAATGATGGTTTTCTGACTTCCTCTGCTTGAATAAAAATAGATTATGGTTCCTGATACCATGGTATGGTATGAGGGTGCATGGTATGGTGTGGTATGGTGTGGTATGGTGTATGGTATGGTATGGTATGGTATGGTATGGTATGATATGGGAGTGCATCAATCCAAGAACCGAACATCAAGATATTATGGTACTCGCACATGAGGATGCAGCCTGCAAAGAATATCATCCCTACTGGTACACTCGTGTCATCGAAATTTTTCACGCAGATGTTTATCATGTTGGAGAAAATTCAACAACGGATGAACCTTACAAGATGGATTTCTTATAGGTTTGTTGGTTCGGTCTAGATGAGTCTCACCGAGGTGGATGGAAGGCTTGACAGCACCATCGAATCGGCTTTTTTGACAGTGAAGATGAGCAGGCATTTGGCTTTCTGGACCCAAACGAAATTATCTGAGCTGTTCATCTTATTCCTGCATTCGCCCATGGCCTCATCGACAACCTTCCATCAGACTCTCTTGCTTGCCACCCTGAAGATGAATACCATGAGGAGTGGAAGTATCATTATGTGAATATGTACGTCTAGTTTCCTATCTATATTTATTCACTAAAGAAACATTTTCTCTTTTAGGTTTGTTGACCGTGACATGTTCATGTGATACCTTGGTGGTGGTATTGGACACAAAGCGACCCACCAAGCTTCTCCAGCCGTTTCTTCAGGAGAACTTGTTGATGACAGTGTGGACTGAGAAGAGAGCAACGATGATTGAGAGGAAAGCCCTCAACCTGATGGTCTGGCAGCCAAGGAACAAGAAGAACTCGTAGTCCATGGGGAGGAGGAGGAGGAGGAGGAAGAGGAAGACAATGATGATGAAAAGTACAATTATGGGTATGAGGATGAGGAAGAAGAAAGTGAGAGGGGTGACGAGGAAGAGGATGAAGTCATGAAGGAGATCAGGAGTGAGGAAGATGACAATGATATGGATCCATTAGATGAGTATGGTGAGCTGTAGACACCTTAAACAAGGGACGATTGGGTAGTTAAGCGAAGCCTTTGACAGATTGTTTGACAAATTAATCATTTTTGCACCTCTTATGTAATTAAAACAAACTTATGGGAAAATTTTTATATTGACGGCGTGTTTGCCTATTGTGCAAAGGTGATGTCCAGATGTAAAAAAAATGTTGTTACTATTTTTAAAATGTGTCTTGAGATGCATCCACAGGACAAAAGGCTGGTAAGAATTAAAATTTGTAAATGTAATGAATTTCAGGAACAATTCAGTCTGTCTCTTTGGCAATAAGAATTTTTTTAATTTTTAGCAAAGCTTCGCCTAGGTAACACAGCTGTGGGCAAAATTTTAACAATAAGCACAATAATTGTTTTTTCTCTGTCAGCCCCCTTGAACAATTGGCAGACATACAGTCACAATAAAAATTTTCCCATTGGTTTGTTGTAATTACATAACTGATGCAAAAATGATTACTTTGTCACGGAATCCATCAAGGGCTTCGCTTAACTGCCCGATTGTCCCTTGTTTAAGGTGAGGGCTGGCCAATGTTTTATTTTATTGCCATAGTTATACTGTAAAAATGCGGTGAGAATGTTGCGAGAACGAGCAAGCTGCGCTTCACGGCTGGAGCCCACGAGATCATATTGAAATGGGCCACTACACCTTACAATGACTGTGTGGTGTAATGGTCTAACAGGCTGCTTTCTGTGTATAATGTGTGGTGTGCCTGATTCCCAAAACCGCGAGTTCAATCCCTGTAAGAGGCATACTTTCCTGACACTTCAATTCCATGCCAGGTATCTTTGAACAATGTTGCTATCTTTCTTAACCGACATGGTGACTCCCTCCCCTCACCTTGTAACCTTGGTTCCAACTTGATTTTAGAATACCTGATTTACATCAACTTAATTGTACCATACCAGCATAAGACCAAGTCCTTTTGAATAAAAGGATCAACCAAAATTACTCGATGTTACATTGTAATCCCAAGCTCGACATTTATTTTCGGACTTTACCGGGACCACATGTCATTACCAGGGTAATGTTGTTTTGCTGATGGATGAAAATTTGAAATTGATGGGGGTCACTCTTTTTTTTTCGGCCTGTGGCTGGACACCCCCCCCCCCAACCCTTGGTTCAGGATCCACGTCCCGCTACCCCCTTGCCCAGCCAAATTTTGACAAAGTCCAAACTTGATTTGGCACGTGGCACCTCGACATTCAGGGCGGCACTTGTTTTTATGCAATTTGGGCATTCAAAATAGTATAATAGGTCATTTTAAAAAATTTTGATTCGGCGGGGCACATAATGTTATTTGGCGGCACATCCGAGTCTACAAACAACTTTAATCCGGGCATTTACCACAATTTTATGCTTGTCCAAGTGGGTAAAAAATCCGCTTACATTATGAATTTGAGATTTTGTAGCGCAGAATTTTTTTTTGTGTCCCTAATATATTTCTATTAGCCCGCCAACATTTTCCTGCCTTCCTCAAACACTTTGTAGCCCGCTCAAATACCTTGCTAACCCGCTCAAACACTTTTGTAGCCCACTGAAACATTTTGGTGTTCACTGCAACCCACCAACATATTCTTTAGCCCCGCACACATTTTGTAAGTCTCTAAAATATATTCTGCCTTCTGTGCAGATTTAATCAAGGCTTTCCATTTCAGGAAGGCTGGCTTGCCGTGCTTAAGTAATTGATCTCACTTGGCACCTTCGGCACAGCCAGGCGGAGCTCTAAATATTGTTGTATTGTAAATTGTAATTGCTATGGGGTCATTTGTATGTACCTCAAAGTCAAATCTTATGATGTAATGTTTCCCACCTTTGGGGAACAAAATCCGGTCCATTCGGAGCCCGAATGGACCGGATTTTGGTCCCCAAAGGTGAGAAAGTGATGTCATAGCCATACCTCAAGCACAAATACATCGGAATCAGGTGCGCGCCACACCCGATTCCTGACTCTGGCTATCTCTCACACCCATATCGCCTCTGCAACCACGTAAAGCCTAGGCATCATTGGATGTACTTATATTTTTCAAACTCTTTCTATGTTTATTTATAACTACTGTAGCTACAAAACACATGAGGGAGAGGTGTGGGACAAACAGAAAGCCGTGAAAATGATGGGGCTATGGAGAACAGAATACAAAACAATGGTGCCCGCATCAACTTCCAAGGGTGCTGACTCCGATGCTGAAGACTCAAGCCCTGACAACACAGACGATGATAGCCCAAGTCCTTTTCCACTCTCACAACGACACTCTCTCAGGAGTGAAGACGAAGTTGCTGATGATATTATCAATATTTCGGGTAAGATATCAATTTACATGCCAATTTAGCAATCTAATTTCCTTGTTCAGATGACGATCCAGTCGACGTTTCCAATGCCCCCACTCGGGTTACCCCTCCTTATGTGAATGTGATGAAGGACATCTTCAACTCATCAATGAACTTTGATAACAAAGAAAATCCTTGGGTTTGATCCTTAACTTGTGGGATATGGAGTTGCCACTGAGATTTCAATGTACATTACACTCATTTTTATACACACATCATATATTCCAACTATGCTACATTCGTTTAGAAAAATACATAATAGGTTGTTTTGAAAACTGATTATCAGTGTTTGGCAGGGGGGGCGCCTCTCAACGTTGTAGAATTTAATTGTTCTTCACCAGCTAATGCTTACATAAATCCAGGACATGAAAAGTGCTAGCCAGCGGTTTTTGTGTCCTGAATTTACGTAAGCATTAACGAATGATTATCCTGCTCAGTGCAGTTGGAATTATAGTACTTTAGAGCTCCGCCTGGCTGTGCCGAAGGTGCCAAGGGAGATCAATTACTTAATCATGGCAAACCGGCATTCCTGAAATGGAAAGCCTTAATTAAATCTGCGCATGAGGCAGAATATATTTTGACAACTTACAAAATGTGTGCGGGGCTCAAGAATATGTTGGCGGAGTAAATAATATTCTGCAATGTTTGAGCGGGCTACCAAAGTGTTTGAGCGGGCTACCAAAGTGTTTGAGCGGGCTACCAAAGTGTTTGAGCAGGCTACAGCCTAC